ACTGAGGGGGATGAGGACGGGGGGCTGGACTGAGGGGGATGAGGACAAGGGACTGGATTGAGGGTGATGAGGACGAGGGGCTGGACTGAGGGGGATGAGGATGGGGGGCTGGATGGGGTTTTCAGGGGGTATTTCCCCAGCACCATAGATCATCTCATTGCCTTGTCCTTTCACCTTCAGGAAAGGGAGGAGGGTGGGCTAGAGAAAGAACAAGAAGTGAGAGAGTGGGGAGAAGTGCTTGGAACTACTGCGTTTGTGCAGAAGTTGGAAGGTACGGGAAGAACTGCCCAAAGCAAAGCCTAGCGTGCACCCCTAAGCCTGGCTGTATGGCTCTGATAATGAGGCCCAGACTCATGGAAAGAGCCACCTGGGCTGTTCTTTCTGTTCAGAGGGGTCTGCAGTGTAGACACTTGCTAACCAGTTACGGAGCTTCATAGGGTCCCACTTTGACATAGCTCGTGGAGGTGCAAAACCCTGGTTCAGCCCTGGGAGTGGAGGCTGAGAGTAAGTTTGTGAAGACTCTGCTCTCTGTGGGTCTCATGGACGTGGGGGAGCAGAGGGGATGGTGCAGTCAACGAGGAATTGTCAGAGGCTCCTGGACTACATCGAAGGGCTAGAGTGAGGAGGAGAGAGAGGCTGCTGATGAATGCTGGGGTCATTCCCCACTGCCAAGAGGGTCTCTCCATGTCTGGAAATGCATCCCAAAGGGCAGCATCAGATAGATTCCTTTCTTATGTTTTCAGGGAAGCTATTCGTTTCTTGTGGCTGCTTGAATGAATTACCACTCTGGTGGCTTAAAGTAACAAATTGATTCTCTCACAGTTCTGGAGGCCAGAAATCTTAAAACAGTGTTGGCAGAGCCACGCTCCCTCCAGAGACTCTAGGGGAGGATCCTTCCCTGCCTCTTCCGTCTTCCAGTGGCAGCCAACATTCCTTGGCTTGTGGCCCCGTCACCCCAGTGTCTGCCTCCTTCTTCCTGTGGCTGCCCCCTCTGCTTATTTGCGCGAAGGCTCCTTCTTTATTTTATGAGGACGCTTATGAGGACATTTAGGGCCTACCCAGGTAATCTAGGTTAATCTCATCTCAGAATTCTTCACTTAATCACTTCTGCAAAGACCCTTTTTCCAAATAAAGTCACATGATCCAGAGATTAGGCCATTATTCAACCTGGTATGGGCAATTAAAGAGCTCGATAAGGTATCTTAACCATAATCGTATACTCTGTTAAAAAGACAGATTGTATTACTGCTGGGCTTTTAGACTTGTTTGTTCACAGTACTTTTAAGAATTTCATTGCCAGAGGGTGTAATTTTTAAAATACTGCAACACAGAGTCGAACAAAGACAATGCCTAATTGTACTTTTCAGCATTCCTTTTTCTCCCCAAGAGGACGGATATGAAATATGTGTGTGTCTATGTGTTTTTGGAGGGTAACAGTTTACAAAGCTGTTAGTTTAGCATCCCTTGAACTACCGGGGGCCAGGCACAGCCAGCGTGTAACTTTACCTCCTATGGACTGAGAGCATCGGCCTGAGTTGACTTGGGGTAGTGCAGGCCCCATGCTGTGAGGTGTGGATGGCAGGGGCTCTTCTAGCCTGTCTGGTTCCCTTGGGGGCGATTGACTCTTTGTTACTCCCATCTTTGGATTAAGGGCCTGAACCTCCCTATTAAAATGAGACTCTGGGCTGGACATGGTGGCTCACACTTATAATCCCAGTACTTTGGGAGGTTGAGGTGGGCAGATCACTTGAGGCCAGGAGTTCGAGACCAGCCTGGCCAACATGGCCAAACCCTGTCTCTACTAAAAATACAAAAATCAGCTGAGTGTGGTGGCGGGCGCCTGTAATCCCAGTTACTCAGGAGGCTGAGGCAGGAGAATTGCTTGAACCTGGGAGACAGAGGTTGCAGGGAGCCAAGATTGTGCCACTGCACTCAGGCCTGGGTCACAGAGCGAGAGTCCATCTCAAAAAAAAAGGCCTTGCTGTATAGAGGAGATAATAGATTATGCTGTTTACATCTGTCTTTGGTGATTCCATTGGTTAGTCACTATTAGTCACTTGCTGTTTATAAAGTGCTGTGTGTGGTAAAGGGGGAGTGGTCCCTGCGTTAAGCCATGACTGCCTTACATCTTACCACAGATGCTGATGTGTAAGGCCGTAGGGAAGGAAGGTGTAGGGGAATCTCTGGAAGGGCGGTTAGCCTCTGGAGGACCTGGGGTTGGGGGCTTGAGTGGGGAAAGGGGGTGGCGGGAGTACCTGGAGAGTGACAGAATGCAGGTCCCAGGGAGTGGCGAGACATACCAGGAGGGATATCTGGGAGGAGTTGGGGCTGGGTGGTGGTGGGGCTGATGGAGAAGATGCTTGGGTGCTCCCATAGACAGCAGTGAGACCTCAAGAGCTTCTGCAAGAAATCAAGAGTTCCAGACCCGCTGATTTGGAGGCAGAGTGTAGAGTGAATTCAAGAGGTCGGGAGGAGCCTCAGGAAGAGGTGACATCCATGCCTTAGTCCACGCTGGGGGTGGCCAGACTTTTATTGATTCGTTCACTATTTTGTTTAATTTAAAGTTTGCCTTTAGTTTGGACTTTTGCCCTTTTTTGTTTTCTTTTTGTTTTTTAAGGTTTTCTTTAGCCTTATTGAGGTTTAACTGACAGATAACCGCATGTGCGTCCAGTGTGCAGGGTGGGGCTTCAGTGAATGAACACGTTGTGAAATGGTTACTACGGTCAAGCTCACAGACATGTCCATTACCCCACAGGGTTATCATTTGTGCGTGTGTGTTGAGAACATTAAAACTTTCTCTCTTAGCAGTTTTCTTTCTTTTTTTTTTTTGAGATAGAGTTTTGTTCTTGTTGTCCAGGCTGGAGTGTAATGGTGTGATCTCAGCTCACTGCAACCTCTACCTCCTGGATTCAAGCAATTCTCCTGCCTCAGCCTCCTGAGTAGCTGGGATTACAGGTGTCCATCACCTCGCCGAGCTAATTTTTGTATTTTTAGTAGAGACAGGTTTTCACCATGTTGGCCAGGCTGGTCTCGAACTCCTGACCTCAAGTGATTGACCCACCTTGGCCTCCCAAAGTGCTGGGATTATAGGTGTGAGCCACCGCGCCCGGCCTCTTAGCAGTTTTCAAGTGTGCAATACATTGTTGTTAAACCTGCACCATGCTGTACATTAGATCTCAGACTTCTGTTTTTTTCTTTATCGTGAACTATGTCCACAAAATAATATTTGAGCCCCCCACTGAAAACATGTATTCATCTGTATTTATTTACTTATTCTTTATTTCTATACTTGTACCTCTGTGTATGGCATATTGCATATAATGCATATTGAGTGCATTGTGAAACAGGTACAAAATGTAATTACAAAAAAAGAGAAATAACAAGAAATGGAAGGTCCACTGTCTTCATCCTGCACCCGGAGGCTCCACAGCTGTGTACGAAGGTGTTCCTGTGGTGCTCACATCTCAGTTCATGACGGGCGTCTGGGCGCTGGGGGCAGTGGTTGAAATGAACCAGATGGGTGGTGTAGGGGAACAGAGAGGAAGGACAGGTGGCGAGGCAGCTGGCAGAAGACATTGACATCATGTGTTGATGTCAGTGGCTGATCACATTAGAGAGGGGAGTGAAGACCAAAGAAAGAACAGGGCAACCGGGTGTGGTGACTCACGCCTTTGACACCAGTGCTTTGGGAGGCTGACGGGGAGAATCACTGGAGGCCAGGAGTTCAAGACCAGCCTGGGCAACATGGGGAGATCCGTCTCTATAAAAAGAAAAAAATAAGCCAGCCGTGTTGGTGTGTGCTTATAGTCCCAGCTCCTGGGAGACTGAGGTGGGAGGATCACTCAAGCCCAGGAGTTTGAGGCTTCTGTGAGCCACAATTGCACCATGTACTCCAGTCTGGGCAACAGAGAGACTCTATCAAGAAAGAAGGAAAGAGAAAAAGAGAGAGAGAGAGAATAAGAAAGAAATGAAGAAAGGAAAGAGGAAGGGGAGGGAGGGGAGGGAGAGAGGAAGGAAGGAAGGAGGGAAGGAAGGAAGGAAGGAAGTTTTGTTTTTAAGACTGAGTCTCACTTTGTCGCCTAGGCTGGAGTGCAGTGGCGCAATCTCGGTCTTTTAAGGGAAGAAGGAAGGAAGGAAGGAAGGAAAGAAAGAAAAGGGTGAATACAATGGAGAGGTGACTTCCCCTAAAGGAAAGAGAACTGGGGACAGATGCGGATTTCGGTGGAAAAGACAATCTTCCCTTCCCTCTGTCCCTCAATCCTTCCTTCTGTTCTTCCCTCCCTCCCGCCCTAACGTCTTATGACAGGTTGGTTGTGGGGGAAATGACGTAGGAGGAGCTTCCTGGGGGTCGTAAAAATGTGCTGAATAACTACAAAGGTTGGGTCCTGACAGTGTGGGCTCCCTGTGAGTTTCCTGGGGAGGTAATTCATCAAAGGAAGGAGGCTTGAGGGCCTGTGCAGGGCAGAGAGAGGGTGCAGCAAGGCTAGGGGTGCTGCATCTTTGGGCAGTGTCCCCCAACCATGCCCCAGAACTAAGATTGGGGGCTGATTTAGCTGTTTCTGAAGTGATTGGGGGTCCTCAGACCTGGAGGGAGATGATGGTGAGTCCTGACAGGGAGTGAGACAAGCCCTTTGCTGGAAGAGAAATTGTTATTTCATCTTCCCATCCTGCAGAAAAATAAATTTGACATTAATCCTGCACTGTGCCTTCCAGACAGCCATTCAGGTTTTCTTAGGTAAATTCCATTGTCTTCCTTAATCATTGGATTCCTTAATCATTTTCCTAATGTTATACCTACATATGTGTGTGTGTGTATATATATATGGTATATGCAAAAATATAAATGTGTATATATATATTTTCTGTTGATGCTGTTTTAGATAAGTGTTTCTCCTCTGCAGAGAAATAGCTAGCATTTTTCTGGGTTCCTGTGCGTAGCCAAGGAATCGCTATTGTCTGTAATGTCTGTAAGAATGGGCATGTTCTTGTTTTCTCCTTAGGTGGCCATAAAAGTCATCGATAAGAAGAGAGCCAAAAAGGACACCTATGTCACCAAAAACCTGCGGCGAGAGGGTCAGATCCAGCAGATGATCCGCCACCCCAATATCACTCAGCTCCTTGATATTTTAGAGACGGAAAACAGCTACTACCTGGTCATGGAGCTGTGCTCTGGGGGCAACCTGATGCACAAGATCTATGAGAAGAAGCGGCTGGAGGAGTCTGAAGCCCGCAGATACATCCGGCAGCTCATCTCCGCTGTAGAGCACCTGCACCGGGCTGGGGTGGTCCACAGGTAAGGGCCAGGCCACGCTGGTGAGGTGATCACTGACTGTGAGGTCCATAGATGGCACTGGGCTTCGGCACCCTCTCAGCCTCCGAGAAAGGCTGAGCAATTGCAGCCTGTTTTACAATTTTTCTATATTTTTATTTTATTTTATTTGTTAATTTTTTTGAGACGGAGTTTTGTTCTTGTTGCTCAGGCTGGAGTGCAATGGTGCAGTCACGGCTCACTGCAACCTCCGCCTTGTGGGTTCAAGCAATTCTCCTGCCTCAGCCTCCCGAGTACCTGGGATTACAGGCACCTGCCACCATACCCGGTTAATTTTTTTGTAGTTTTAGTAGAGACAGGGTTTCACCATGTTGGCCAGGCTGGGAATTTTTCTGTATTTTTATTCCATGGAATTGTTTTGTGAATTGGGTTCATGCCAGTGTGAGGGTTAAAAGAGTAGAATCTGAAGCCAGAGTGACTGATAGTTATGTGACCTTGGGCAAGTTACTAACCTCTCTGAGCCTCGATCTTTTAATCTGTAAAATGGGAATAATAACACTTCTCTCTCAGTTGGAGTAAGGGTCAATGAGTTAATACATGGGAAGAGCTTGGGACAGCATTTAGTACCTAGTAGGCATCAGGTGTTAGCTGCTTTTCTTCTTGTTTGCATAGTCCTGAGACCAGTTGTTTAGGTGCCTGAAAGAGCCAGTGTTAAGATGGCATGAGATTAGTGCAAGGTATGATGATGCTTTCATTGTCTTTGCTTTATATATGGTAGCCACTCAATAGCTGTTTTATTCAATGAAATTGAATCACCATTCGAATTTTGAACTTGCCCTTGAAATCAAGGAGTGTTTTCCACAAACCAAACCAGTCTTGCAAATAATTTTATGAAAATCAAGCTTGTTTTTAATAGCTTGTTGCTTCCTAGGAAGGGGCTCTACAAAGAAAGTGAATGGAAGCAGCATTCTTAGCAATGTTGCCATTGGTGGTGGTGGGTGCCTGCTTTTAGTACGGTATGAAAATAAGATCAAATGAATTTAAAGAAATAAAAGCTCCCTCTTTTCCTCCAAGGGAGTGTTGGCTTCACCAACAAATGCATGGTTTTTCTTTTGTGAAATTATGATCAATAATTACTCTGGGTTATTGAGAACAACCAGAAATCTTTTTTTTGTTTGTTTTGTTTTTAAGACTGAGTCTCACTTTGTCGCCTAGGCTGGAGTGCAGTGGTGCAATCTTGGCTCACTGCAACCACTGCTTCCCAGGTTCAAGACATTCTCCTGCCTCAGCCTCCCAAGTAGCTGGGATTATTACAAGCGCCCACCACCATGCCTGGCCAGTTTTTGTATTTTGAATACAGACAGAGTTTTGCTATGTTGGTCGGGCTGGTCTCGCACTCCCGGTCTCAGGTGATCCACCCGCCTTGGCCTCCCAAAGTGCTGAGATTACTGGTGTGAGCCACCGCGCCCCGCCTAGAAATCTTTTTTTTTTTTTTTTTTTTGGAGATGGAGTTTCACTGTTGTTGCCCAGGCTGGAGTGCAATGGTGCGATCTCGGCTCACCGCAACCTCCGCCTCCCAGGTTCAAGCGATTCTCCTGCATCACCCTCCCTAGTAGCTGGGATTATAGGCATGAGCCACCACGCCCGGCTGATTTTGCGTTTTTAGTAGAGACGGGGTTTCTCCATGTTGGTCAGGCTGGTCTCGAACTCCTGACCTCAGGTGATCGCTCTCCTCGGCCTCCCAAAGTACTGGGATTACAGGCGTGAACCACCGCACCTGGCCTAGAAATCATTTTTAATTGGTGCTTATTTTAAAAAGCAAGATTGAAGTATGACATATTTATGTGTGTGTATATATAAACATGCACACGTGTGTGCACATGTATGTTAAAATATTTTTAAATTAATAAATGTATGTACTATAAAAGTCACCATTTAAAAGTGTATAATCTACTGTTTTTTAGTGTATTCACAGAGTTGTGCAACCATCACCACCTTCTAATTTTAGAATATTTTTATTACCCTCCCCAAAAGAAACCCTGTACCCATTAGCAATCACTCCCCATTTGCCTCTTCTCCCAGCACTGGCAACTACTAATTTACTTTCCGTGTCTATGGATTTGCCTATTCTGGCCATTTCATATAAATGGAATTATATAATATATAGTCTTTTGTGATTGATTTCTTTCATGTAGCATTATGTTTTTCAGGTTTGTCTAAGTTATAGCATGTGTCAGTGTCTCCTTCCTTTTTATGACTGCATAATACTCCATGTATGGATATACCACAGTTGGCTGATCCGTTTGAGTTGTTCCCACACTTTGGCTAGTAATACTGCTATGAGCGCTGTTTTCACTTTTCAGAAAACTCCACTCTTAGGAGTGGAATTGCTGGGTCATATGTCAGCTTTCTTTATCCTTTTGAGGAAACACATATTTTTAAAAAATTCAACATTTAATGGTAAATCTAATTTTAATTTTAATAATGATAATCGAGTTCTATCTGTTTCAAAGCCATTTTCTTTCTTTCTGTTTTTTTTTTTGTTGTTGTTGTTGTTGTTGTTTTTTTGAGATGGAGTCTCGCTCTGTCGCCCAGGCTGGAGTGCAATGGTGCAGTCTCGGCTCACTGCAACTTCTGCCTCCTAGGTTCAAGAGATTCTCCTGCCTCAGCTTCCCAAGTCGCTGGGATTACAGGCACACACCACCATGCCCAGCTATTTTTTGTATTTTTAGTAGAGATGGGCTTTTGCCATGTTGCCCAGGCTGGTCTCAAACTCCTGACCTCAAATGATCCACCCTCCTCGACCACACCCCAAGTGCTGGGATTACAGATGTGAGCCACCATGCCCAGCCATGAAAGCCGTTTATTTTCTGATCAGTGACAAAAGCAGCTGCAGGCCTTTACTTAATAGAACTTAGACTTCCAAGGTGGAGAGAGCTGTCTCCTTACTAATGGGATTGGTGCCATGGGATGCTCTGCCCTCTCATGTCTAAACCCACGGGAGGTCCATGGTCCAGGCCTTTTCTAGAGCCAGCCTTGGGTAGGCACCATTCAGGCCAATCATTTCCTCCTCACTGAGGTGAGAACAACTCTTCACGTATTCTTAGTCATGCGTGTTGTCATGAGATCACACTTCATTAGAACTCTTTGGGCTTAGATTAGCAAGGAAGAGAACATTCAGAAATGGTAAGTGAATCATACTATTTTTGGCTCTTCCCAACAATACCCTTGGGTAGCCTGAGGTGTCATAGCTCTGCCGTTATTAGGAAAATGATAGTCGTAAGTGTGCCTGGCTCTGTCTTTGTTTATTAAGATGACAAAGGCAGAAATCTCACAAGTGAATCAGCTTGGATTACCGACTCCGCAGGTCACAGTGGAAAATAGAACGAGGGACTGTGAGCGGCAGAGCTTTTTGTGGTACTTGGGGTGTTTTTTCCAAGGATTTTGTGCTGTCAAAAATAAGATGAGCGCTGAGCTTCTCAGGATTGTGAGAACAACAAAGAAAACCAAGTGGAAGCTGCGCCTTGCACACTGGCCTCTCCTGCAGGAAATTCTCAACAGCCCTTTTAAAGTAATTTTAACAAAATCCAATCCCTCTCAGCGCAATTACTGTCAGAATGTCAAAGCAATGAATTTAATAATGTTTTGATAGCAAAGACGGTATACTTTTTTCTTTCTCTGATCTCCAGCTTTTTCTACTTTTGCCTCTCTCTCCTCAGGAATATATTTATAATCCGATAATGGCAAGGGCTCAGATCTTTTAAAGTTAGAGAAGATTGGAAATACACAGACGATTTAGGAAGATTTTTTTCACGTTTCCCTCTAAAAATCACGTTAATGTGTGTCACCGCACGTGGACATAGGTGATTAGGTGGTTGAGACCTCACATTAAAATGCTTGTTTAGAATATATTCATAGTGGCTTTAATGGAATGTCTTGACTTTCAAAGACTCTATACCACTAATTTTGGGTGTTCATATTTCAACTGACCACTGGTATGTTCTTTACTGGAGCCCTTTCTCATAAAGAATTTTCTCCTTTATGCTGCAAAGGTGGAATGAATTTCATAAATTATTTTGAGGTTAGATTTTTCAAATGAATAAGAGACTATTGCATTTCAGAGAGGCCCTGGAGTCCCTGGTGGGAAGATTTCTGAGTAAATATATTGGATCATGCAAAAGGATTCAGGATGATTTTTTGTGGCTATATGTGTATAGTGATTTTAAGGGCTTTTGGTTGTGTGTGTGTGTGTGTGTGTGTGTGTGTGTGTTAGGGGATGCTTTAAAAATGCAGTTCCTGATTAGGCTGATATTATGTTGTTATGTCATAATCAACTTAATGCTAGCAGAGCCCTCATTTCCTGTGGCATTAAATCAAAATAATTATTTATCTTTCCAGAAGTATTTAAACATCATTTAAAAGAAACAATAAATATGACAAGTAGGTTTTTGTTTGTTTGTTTGTTTTTTCAAAGGAAGCTAAGCGTGTATAAAGCAGATTCGCTTTGCTGGCAGATAACTTCCTATTAGACTAGACTTGCCACAGCCTCTGTGTCTAGGGCTGTTGTTCATTTTTACAAAGGTAGAGTGTGGTCTAACTTCTTTATTATTCTATTTTAGAATTGTCTAAGCTTCTCTAAAATATAACAGGTTGCTTTTCCTTCCCCTAAACGTGCTCACCCAGCAGGATGCCAAAATCTGATGATTTGCCTATTGTATATAGAGCATCAACTCTTAACATGAATCACCTAGAACGCTGATTCTGCTGAGAGGCTAATTTGAGATTCATGTGTTCATTCAAAATGACAAAGTCCAATCAAACTATACAGATAAAACACAACTGGATAATACAATACCACCATCCCTAAGCAGGAAGACAAAAGCCGTGGGGCTGCAGGACCAGGAGAAAGAGACACATGATCAAAGGGAGCCGGAGCCTGAGCTCGGATGTGTGTCAACACCATGGCTCCCAGGGCCATGACCTTATCCATTCATCAATATAGAGAAAAGGGCTCTCTGCGCCTA